CCATGAAATGCTTGACGTGTGTATAAATTGGCTGTCCAAATCTCCTGCATCAGAGTTTATGGTCAGGCTGACAGATAATGACTTCAGCCTTTAACATGCATGTCTTCAAAAACCCACTTTCGAGTATGGCTTGATGCTATTTTGTTAGCAATAGGGTAGCTAGCTTTCACAGCTTATCGCTAGGCCACAAACGTAAAAAGACTGCCGTTTCCTAAAACCTTTCAACATCTTTCGTCTCTGTTCTCAGTTATCTTGCAAGGTCTTTATGTCATTAAAGATCTGATTGTGATGCCAAATATGACACTCAGTTGCTATTTTAGTCCATTTCCAAAGGGGAGGGGTTGGGTTAGGGTTAGGTACATTTGACTAGTATCCAAAATATAAAAACACTACTACCAGAAGCCCTGGAATAGGTTTGATTCCCTAAAGGCTATTGGAATGTGTTGAACAATGCAATAACATAATTGGCTTCATTTGGTGGAGGCTTCATATTACAGGGGCCCACCAGTGAGATAGAGATCAAACGTTGCCCTGAGTTGTGTTTCATGTCATATTTGCATGATTTTGAGAAAATGTCTACCTCAAAAGATCACCTTACTAAGAGCGTTTTTCTGTCAGTGCTGAACTGAATGACAAACTGTCCAAAATCGACTTGATGAAGAAACGCTTCGAGATTGTGATGCTTTCAATGGCAGCTCCTGAGGGGGAAAAGGAAGAAACGCAGGCTTACTACATTACAAAGGTAAGAGGTCTTTGAACACACCACCATGTTAAAAACAGACTTTGTGAAGGGTTACAGATTTGTTTCACTTTGATTGACTTTTGTTTGCGTTTCTTTAGGCTGCACAAGAGAGAGAGGAGCTCAAGAGGAAGGGGGACAGTCTGGATGCTACAATCCGCAAGATGGAGCTGGAAAACAGAGCTCTGGAGAACACCATCCAGCTGTTCAACAACAGCAACTCATCCTTTCGCAAATCCCTCAACAAAGTCAATGAATCCTGTACGTATGACCGGGTAGACAGAATGAACCGAAATAAACAACAACACTCTATCGGGGATGATCAGCAGGAAGTGATTTATGTTTGTTTATTCTCCTTTCAAATCATTACAGCAGCTATCATTGACCACAACGTTTTTGTGTTAGGTCCGGAGCACCAGGAAAAAGTGAAACTGCAAGAGCAGTTGAGGGCGGCAGAAGTGACGCTGAAGTACAAGAAAAGACAGGTCCAAGAGCTCCAACAGGACGTACAGGTTCATTCTAATTATAGCCGCTCAGAATGCCTTACTAAATACCTCATCCTTTATCTGTGGCGTATCCTATAGCACTGCACCTATTTCCTTTCAATTGGAATACATCCTCCAAAAGTGGCCTGGAAAACGTATTTTTCCCAATACATTCATTGATATTTTCCGAATAGAACAGATATACAACACAGAAGCATTTGGTCAATATAATAGTGATAAAGCAAAGGAGCAAGTACAAAGCAAGATGGAACAATGACAACACCAAGAAAGGATAAATACTACAAACCACAAGCAGTACTCGGACCAAAACTAAGGATAACATTAGTCAAATAAAACAGCGGTAATTAAAGTTTAAAAGTCTCAAAAATGCTACAACTACTGTCACAAACTGGATGAATGTGAAGTATTTTGTTTAAGGAGGATGAAAGCGTAATTAAGGAGCACTATTGGAGTGACTTTGATGGTTATTGGACTCAGGATTAATTCATTTGGATTCCCGCTGTATGAAGAAAATAAAGGACGGCGCAAGTGGAAACAATTCACAAAGGGATTAAACTGTTTAAAACACATGCTCAAAGTAAGCCGGATTTTGCCGATGTGTTTATGTGGATTCAAAAGTCGTAAATAATCTGGAGGAGACCGATCTGATCGGAGCAACTGTGACAAATAATCCAACTGAAACCGGCATGGACAATGACTATGTTTTAAAAATGCGCTTATCCAGAAAAGCCTGGTTTGGACACTTTACGGGCAGAAGAAACATTTATATTGAAGAAAGAATTATACATTTCTGTCTTTTTATGACTTTAATAGCTACTAACTTGAATTTTTATTCAAATTAATTAATCAATTATTTTGTATATTTTATTGTAATGTAGAAACAAGGCTTTTAGTGACAATCATGTATTGCGTTACAATTATATGTAAAAAAAAAAAATTTTAAAAAGAAAAAGTCTAAATATGATATTTGGCCTCAAATCATCTGAGGCCTGCGATCTTTGGCCACTGTGCTGGACGACACTTCACAATACAGGGTAAAATGATTGCTCAACCATTTTTAATCCATATGGTGTTTGAAGCAGGTATTGGAGATTTCCTCTAGGGGAGGGGGTAGCCCACAATTTAAAGGGGACATAATCGGCTCATTTTCAGGTTTCATATTTATATGTAGTGTCTCTACTCTCACACGTCTCCCTGCTTTAATGTTCAAAAAGCTCTTTATTTTTATCATACTGCCTGTGCTGCGGCACCTCTTTTCACCCTCTGTCTGAAACCAGAGCCCAGTCTGCTCTGATTGGTTAGCTGGCCGGCTCAGCTTATCACGTATAATGTGCCAATAGAAGTGTTACATAGTGATGTCATTATATTACGGATGTCAACAATGGAGTTCAATGGAGGCGTTTCAGGCAGGGGGGGAGAGAAACTCCCTCTGGAGGGAACACAGGGATTTTAGCCTTTGCAGACCATTTACATGCACTCAAACGGATAGAACACACTACAGGAGAGGGAAAACCCCAGACATATTATTTGCATTTCCTGCTTTTATTGTGTTTCTAATTTCCCCCTAAAACCGCTCTTTCTTCATTCCTGTCTCTCTTCTTCAGTGTCATACAAGTTTCTTGTTCTGTTGTCTTTTCATGTCCCTGAGAGACCATTTACAATTTGACCATTGTTTAGCAACTCTGTCTTTGTGAGTTATTCTGTGAAGTTGACCTGGTATCAATCTGCCTCTGGGCCTTGCTTTAGTTTGTTCTTGTGTGATTGTCACTCTCCATTTCCAGGACATGAACAATACCTGGGAGAGTCTGCGGCAAGAAGAGCAGGCGGAGACAGAAAAGATAGAGCACAAACAGTCCCTCGTGGGTAAGCTGAACAAAGAAATCTGTAGTCAGCAGGAGAAGGTCGACAGAGCCACAAAGCAGGTTCGATGTCCACTGTCCCACTTTTATTGGGTATCCAAACATGTCTTAGCGGTCTCCATAATCACATTTTAATTTGACGTTGTCCTCCCCAGTGCTCTAAGCTGACCAAAGAGATCCGCTCAGCAAAAAACACCAGCACTGAGACTTTTGAGGAGAAGGATATTAAGCTGAGGGAGTTGAAAGAATTTAATAAGAGTATCAACAAGAAGCTGTACGACACCATGGAAGACAAACCTGACCTCAGATCAGTGGTGGAGGAATACTTCCTGCAGGTTAAGCATTTGACTGGCTGTGCATTACTGTGATTTTTGAGGTAGTTCAAGGGATTTAATTTAAATATGAACTTCCCTTTTTTTCTGTCTCAGGCCAATCTGTCTCTTCCATCTCCGTCTTCTACTCCTTCCAGCCAGCGGAGCTCCAAGACGAGCTCCCCCCACAGCTCGGCCTCTCTCAGGTCAGAAAGGGTCTCTCCTCAACCTCTTTCACCCAACCATAGATCCATTTCTGTCTTTTGTTTTTAAGGGTCGACAGTAAATGCCACACAGAAGTGATACATCATGTAAAAGCTGGGATCCTAAGGATACAGCGCAGCACTGTGCAGTGTTTTCTGGTCAGAAGTGAAATGTTCAAAGATTACAGTGTGTGGTATTAGGGCTTAGAACATATGATAGCATTATATGATGGCCATGCTTTATGGTGTTTTATAGGTTGTTGCAGAAATTGTTGGGTTGACACCATTTATTACAAAGATTTGATGCAAAATCCAACCATTTTTAAACACTGACATAAATGGTCAACAATTCATCCAAAATCCAACGGAAAAATCCCTGCTCAACTTTGGTCACTTTTAACATTTGGAGATTCCTGCAAGAAGTGGATTGGACGGCGAGGACTTCTCTTCTCAGCACATTTTATACAATGATTAAAATTTATAAAAAATATTATATATATTTTCTACACAATTTATGCAGTTTCCAAACTATTTAGGGACTCGAGTATGCAAAGATATTTAAATATATCCTTTATAAATGGGTCAAAAATAACACTCTATGGATAAAACAACTTATTTTTGCCCCAAAATGCATGGGATTAGCATCAAATGTGATGTCTGTAAATGGGAGCCTTGTATCCATAAAACTGATTTTCATTCCAGCCCACGGCCAAGGCCCAGAAGGGGCTATGCAACGATGGTGATAATACTACATCCATTTTAAAATCTGCAGGAGGATCGTTAGTTATTATTGTTAGGAGTTAGCTGTTAGCTCGTAGCTTCATTGGCGGCACAGTCCTACTTGGCTAAATAACGGAGCTTACAGCTAATGGATGAGATTGCGATGCTTTCATGCTCAATTCCGTAAATATTGTAAAGTTATGTCTGGCAAAGGCATGGTTGGGTTTGTGACTAACCCACATTTTATGCTTTAACCAAGCTGAGTTAGCTTACTTACCAGCTTAAGAAGTATTTTAAATTATGTCACATTTTAGTAGTTGATATAGCAACTGAATCAAACAGGTTATTGGGATACTATCCTGTTTTTTGTGTACAATAATCTACTTCATCTTAAATACATTATTAACATTTTACCGTCTATAATTACTGACCTACACGACATATAACCGCTCTGCCTGTATCTCTGTTTCCTCTCTGCGGTGAAGGTCTCCTGCGTCCTCAGCCGGCAGCAGCCCCCGGGCCTCTGCTCTGCACCCCCCTCTGATGAAGACTGTGGAGCTGGGCCTGGATCTGACCTCCCCCCCTCTCACCATCTCCAGAGGATCCAGCTCTGCGAGCAGCAGCAGCAGCAGCAGCAGCAGGAAGTTAAGAAAGCCGCAGTGATGCAGATGTATTATCTCACTGCTGGGGATGAAGAGCAAGAGAAGGAGGATATTATAGTTAGAGTTTGTTATGGTTGCACAGAGTGGCGTTTAATCACATGATGAGATGCAGTGTTCAGTTCGCAAATGTGCTATCATTTGTATGCAACAAAAAGTATTTTATTGGTGATTTTAGTATATATTGTTCTTAGGACTTTGTAGTTATTATATTTATTAATGTGAATCTTAAGATACTGGATGTTCCCACAGTGTGACTTAAATAAAGACAAACTATACAAACTCTTATCTTTTATCTCCATGTTTTTCTTTTTTTTCTTTGTGAAAATGGTATAATAAATAAACCTATATTTATTGTAAAATAACTCACTTTACCTTTATTTAAAAAAGAAACATTTCTATTAAAGAAAGAATTATACATTTCTGTCTTTTTATGACTTTAATAGCTACTAACTTTAATTTTTATTCAAATTAATTAATCAATTATTTTGTATATTTTATTGTAATGTAGAAACAAGGCTTTTAGTGACAATCATGTATTGCGTTACAATTATATGTAAAAAAAAAAAAAAAAAAGTCTAAATATGATATTTGGCCTCAAATCATCTGAGGCCTGCGATCTTTGGCCACTGTGCTGGACGACACTTCACAATACAGGGTAAAATGATTGCTCAACCATTTTTAATCCATATGGTGTGTGAAGCAGGTATTGGAGATTTCCTCTAGGGGAGGGGGTAGCCCACAATTTAAAGGGGACATAATCGGCTCATTTTCAGGTTTCATATTTATATGTAGTGTCTCTACTCTCACACGTCTCCCTGCTTTAATGTTCAAAAAGCTCTTTATTTTTCTCATACTGCCTGTGCTGCGGCACCTCTTTTCACCCTCTGTCTGAAACCAGAGCCCAGTCTGCTCTGATTGGTTAGCTGGCTGGCTCAGCTTATCACGTATAATGTGTTGGAGAGCTAGCCAATAGAAGTGTTACATAGTGATGTCATTATATTACGGATGTCAACAATGGAGTTCAATGGAGGCGTTTCAGGCAGGGGGGGAGAGAAACTCCCTCTGGAGGGAACACAGGGATTTTAGCCTTTGCAGACCATTTACATGCACTCAAACGGATAGAACACACTACAGGAGAGGGAAAACCCCAGACATATTATTTGCCTTTCCTGCTTTTATTGTGTTTCTAATTTCCCCCTAAAACCGCTCTTTCTTCATTCCTGTCTCTCTTCTTCAGTGTCATACAAGTTTCTTGTTCTGTTGTCTTTTCATGTCCCTGAGAGACCATTTACAATTTGACCATTGTTTAGCAACTCTGTCTTTGTGAGTTATTCTGTGAAGTTGACCTGGTATCAATCTGCCTCTGGGCCTTGCTTTAGTTTGTTCTTGTGTGATTGTCACTCTCCATTTCCAGGACATGAACAATACCTGGGAGAGTCTGCGGCAAGAAGAGCAGGCGGAGACAGAAAAGATAGAGCACAAACAGTCCCTCGTGGGTAAACTGAACAAAGAAATCTGTAGTCAGCAGGAGAAGGTCGACAGAGCCACAAAGCAGGTTCGATGTCCACTGTCCCACTTTTATTGGGTATCCAAACATGTCTTAGCGGTCTCCATAATCACATTTTAATTTGACGTTGTCCTCCCCAGTGCTCTAAGCTGACCAAAGAGATCCGCTCAGCAAAAAACACCAGCACTGAGACTTTTGAGGAGAAGGATATTAAGCTGAGGGAGTTGAAAGAATTTAATAAGAGTATCAACAAGAAGCTGTACGACACCATGGAAGACAAACCTGACCTCAGATCAGTGGTGGAGGAATACTTCCTGCAGGTTAAGCATTTGACTGGCTGTGCATTACTGTGATTTTTGAGGTAGTTCAAGGGATTTAATTTAAATATGAACTTCCCTTTTTTTCTGTCTCAGGCCAATCTGTCTCTTCCATCTCCGTCTTCTACTCCTTCCAGCCAGCGGAGCTCCAAGACGAGCTCCCCCCACAGCTCGGCCTCTCTCAGGTCAGAAAGGGTCTCTCCTCAACCTCTTTCACCCAACCATAGATCCATTTCTGTCTTTTGTTTTTAAGGGTCGACAGTAAATGCCACACAGAAGTGATACATCATGTAAAAGCTGGGATCCTAAGGATACAGCGCAGCACTGTGCAGTGTTTTCTGGTCAGAAGTGAAATGTTCAAAGATTACAGTGTGTGGTATTAGGGCTTAGAACATATGATAGCATTATATGATGGCCATGCTTTATGGTGTTTTATAGGTTGTTGCAGAAATTGTTGGGTTGACACCATTTATTGCAAAGATTTGATCCAAAATCCAACCATTTTTAAACACTGACATAAATGGTCAACAATTCATCCAAAATCCAACGGAAAAATCCCTGCTCAACTTTGGTCACTTTTAACATTTGGAGATTCCTGCAAGAAGTGGATTGGACGGCGAGGACTTCTCTTCTCAGCACATTTTATACAATGATTAAAATTTATAAAAAATATTATATATATTTTCTACACAATTTATGCAGTTTCCAAACTATTTAGGGACTCGAGTATGCAAAGATATTTAAATATATCCTTTATAAATGGGTCAAAAATAACACTCTATGGATAAAACAACTTATTTTTGCCCCAAAATGCATGGGATTAGCATCAAATGTGATGTCTGTAAATGGGAGCCTTGTATCCATAAAACTGATTTTCATTCCAGCCCACGGCCAAGGCCCAGAAGGGGCTATGCAACGATGGTGATAATACTACATCCATTTTAAAATCTGCAGGAGGACCGTTAGTTATTATTGTTAGGAGTTAGCTGTTAGCTCGTAGCTTCATTGGCGGCACAGTCCTACTTGGCTAAATAACGGAGTTTACAGCTAATGGATGAGATTGCGATGCTTTCATGCTCAATTCCGTAAATATTGTAAAGTTATGTCTGGCAAAGGCATGGTTGGGTTTGTGACTAACCCACATTTTATGCTTTAACCAAGCCGAGTTAGCTTACTTACCAGCTTAAGAAGTATTTTAAATGATGTCACATTTTAGTAGTTGATATAGCAACTGAATCAAACAGGTTATTGGGATACTATCCTGTTTTTTGTGTACAATAATCTACTTCATCTTAAATACATTATTAACATTTTACCGTCTATAATTACTGACCTACACGACATATAACCGCTCTGCCTGTATCTCTGTTTCCTCTCTGCGGTGAAGGTCTCCTGCGTCCTCAGCCGGCAGCAGCCCCCGGGCCTCTGCTCTGCACCCCCCTCTGATGAAGACTGTGGAGCTGGGCCTGGATCTGACCTCCCCCCCTCTCACCATCTCCAGAGGATCCAGCTCTGCGAGCAGCAGCAGCAGCAGCAGCAGCAGGAAGTTAAGAAAGCCGCAGTGATGCAGATGTATTATCTCACTGCTGGGGATGAAGAGCAAGAGAAGGAGGATATTATAGTTAGAGTTTGTTATGGTTGCACAGAGTGGCGTTTAATCACATGATGAGATGCAGTGTTCAGTTCGCAAATGTGCTATCATTTGTATGCAACAAAAAGTATTTTATTGGTGATTTTAGTATATATTGTTCTTAGGACTTTGTAGTTATTATATTTATTAATGTGAATCTTAAGATACTGGATGTTCCCACAGTGTGACTTAAATAAAGACAAACTATACAAACTCTTATCTTTTATCTCCATGTTTTTCTTTTTTTCTTTGTGAAAATGGTATAATAAATAAACCTATATTTATTGTAAAAGAACTCACTTTACCTTTATTTAAAAAAGAACAATGACCCTTTGATCTTCATTTTTTTGTTTTTACTTTTTGTGAAAATTGTTCTATTAAATACAATATTATTTAGTATTTAAAAAAAAAATGTTTTTCTTCGTGAAAATGCTTTCAATAAATACATCTACATTCAAAAGGAAAAAACTATTAACATCTTTCTCTTTTGCTTTTTATTTAAAAAAGAAACGTTTTTGTTTTTAATAAAGAAATTAACTAAATGTAGAGCAAGTGTTTCAGCAGTTTTTAGTTTTTTTTCAAGCTGGATTCAAACTGTATTTAATAGAAAAGATCCCACTACTTTTTCTTTGGATACAACGTGGGGCAGGGCATTCTTTTTGCTTTGAGGAAGTAGCATTACAGAAATATGCCATTGTTGTTTTAAGCTTTGTTTGGTCTTTGGGTTTGGTCCAGTCCAGGTAACTTGTTGATGTACCTGTATTGTTGTCTGCAGCCACACCTGTCTCATTCCCTGGAACAGGTCACACTCAGACAGACGCTCTGCGGCGACACAACTGCTCTCAGATTTCACTAGTGTTCGGATAGAGCTCCAACATGATGCTGCTGCTGCTGGTGCTGCTGGCTGGATGTTCGCTGACTGCTGCTCAGACAGGTGAGAACACAAGATCCTATTTGGATCTGAAATCTACATAGAAAAATCGTTTCTTTTACTAATTCCTCATTAATGTATACCAGGGGTCGGCAACCTATTTGATATGAAGTGCCATTCTAAAAACATTTTTTGAATGAGACAGGTGTGGCTGCAGACAACAATACAGGTACATCAACAGAGAAAAGTGTCATGTATGTTACGTCTCGCGATCGGCCTTTTTAGAGAGCACCGATCGATCGGCAGAGTGAGTATCGGCCGATATCGATCGCCACGCAAAAACTGCGGCATTTTTACAGCTCCTTAATGCAATTTGTGAAGTGCTTTCCTCTGTGGTGAAACGATCAGCCCTGCACCACGGAGGAAAGCGGCAGAAAGTCGCCTGGAGTTAAAGAGAGCGGGGCTGCGTTGCGTGCATGGCTTCCTTCTGCAGGTAACGGGGAAACGCGCTCTGGCGGCGGTCTCGTTCAGGATCCGAAAATAAAATAAATATTTTGTACACTTATTCCACTTATTCCTAGTGTGCCACTGGTTACGGTGCCGCGTGCCATTGGTGGCACGCGTGCCAGGGGTTGCCGACCCCTGATGTATACAGACAAGGTACATGAAACAATGTGAGTTGTAGCGTGAAGGCAGAGAGCGTAGCTTATAAACAATGCTTTACTATACTATACTACAATTACATCATTTTTGGTCAAGAGGTGACATTTTAAGTGCAAAACATTTTACAAAGATTATGATGAATCAGGTTTAAAATGTATATCGTATAACCTACAACAAAATTCTAGTCTCACGATAATTCACTATTAATAAATACAGCTTACAATAAAGCAAAAAGCCGTGAAGCAGAGAGTGCTTATAAAAATAATATATAGAAGTACATCGTTTTATGGTAAGAAATCAAATCTTATATATATTTAATTTAACTACAAACTTTATGATAAATAAGGGGTAACAAAATATGATATCATTATAAAGAATTAAAGTCTCAAGCTAATTCAATATTAATATGTTGAGTCAAGGTACAAAAAAGTTAGTTGACCCGGAAGCCTAGAATAATATATAGCATATAAAAAATAGCTATACAATCACATCATTCTTGGTCAAATACCTCTAATCTTATGGCAAAATAACTACAAAACTTTATGATAAATAAAGGTTATTCAATATTGATATTATGTACAGTCAAGGTACTAGAACACAAAGTAATTTATAGCAAGGAAGGCAGACAATACAGCTTGTAAAAATAAATTAGCTTTACTGTTTCATCATCAAATAGCTCTTATCATTTGGAAAACATATTACAAACTTCATGATAAATAAAGATTTAAAAAATGGATACAAACATTCAAGGCTCAATGTAATCATATACACGTATGTCAAGGTTCAAGAAAACACACTTAAAGCTGGAAGGCACAATCCATGGCTTATAGAAAATAGCACATCATTTTGGGTCAAGTACCTGAAATCTTATGTTGAAAAAGCTACAAAATGTATAAGAATATAAGGTTTAAAAGTAAATAAAAAATAAATAAAAACATCTCAAGGTAATCCTGTATTATTATGTTCCACATGTAAAATAACACAAACTTAGTTAAAGATGGAAGGCAGAAAGCGTAGCTTATTAAAAACTGGTTATAAAATGACATAATGTTGTTCGTTTCCAGCGACACCCCAGACAAGACCCGCCCCGCTGACCGAGGTTGTTCCTGTAAACGGTAAGTGCATTCAGGCTCGCATCATTTCATTCAACCTATCGACTGACATGACTTTAATACGTATCTTTTTATCGGTCCCACAGCTTTGGCAGTCCTGGTGGCGGCTCTCCAGTCCACCCAGGCGCTGAATCTGACCAACATAGGTCCGACCCTGCAGGAGGTAGCTAGCCTTGCTCCGTCTTCACAAATCCACATTCATGTCCAACTTTCTTTCTGAAAACATATCCTGAGAAACATTGCAGTACTTAGTGCTTTGTGATACATTCTGTGCAGAACCTGATGTGACCAGAACATGAAAATGATTGTGTCTTTCAGCTGCACACTTTAATCCAGCAGCTCGCACCTCAGGCCAACTTCCGTCTGACAGTGAAGGAAATCACCAAAGTCTGAAACCTCAGTGGACCCCCCCTCCGACAGCCCCCTGGTTTACTTGCTTATTATTGTTCAATTCCTTGATGAATGGATATGTTATTTGATCACATAATATTAAATTGCTCTATACTTTCGGGGTTTCCTTTTCCTGTAGTGTGTTCTATATGTTTTAGTGCATGTAAATGGTCTGCAAAAGCTAAAATCCCAAAGTTCCCTCTCCCACACACTCTGCCTCTGCCATGCCTGAAACGCCTCCATTGGACTCATCTGTTTACTTCGGTAACATAGTGACATCACTATGTAACACTCGTGCTTCTATTGGCTAGCTCTCCAACACATTGTAAGTGATAGGCTATGTGGTGGGACATCTTTAAGCAGTTGACCAATCACAACAGAGCGGGCCAGCTAACCAATCAGAGCAGACTGGGCTCTGGTTTCAGACAGAGGGTGAAAAGAGGTGCTGCAGCACAAGCAGTATGAGAAGAATTAAGAGCTTTTTGAACATTAAAGTATGGAGACATGTCACAGTAGAGACACTAAATACAAATATAAACCTGAACATTTGCAGAATATGGACTCTTTAACTCCACCAAACTGAAAATAAATATGTGCACCATGAAGGGCATGTTATTCTCAACAGAGTTATGTAAAAATGGATAGACCTACATGTCGTGAATGTTAAAGTATCAGAAATGATATCAAAATGTGTTTCTCACAAATGTCCTGTAACCATGGTTATTGAACTGGAACCCCTTGCCAAAGATGGAAATGTGCATCACACATTGTAAATCATGTTGTAATTGTACAACATATATTGTATTTTTTTTATTTAACTTGCTTTTATTATCTATTTAATTATATTAACTAATAATGGTATCCATAACTTTGTTGTTGGTTGTATGTTTAAAATTCAAACATTTGAAACCATGTTTACGGCTCAAACATCAAATATAAACGTTGTACTTTGCAGCCAAACAGAAATACATAGAAACTGTTTTGTTTTTCTTCCAGTAATGATATGTTAAATCACATTTCTATCACCAAAGACACATGTTCACTGAGTTGTTATTACTTTGAATGAAAGTGCATGAACAAATAAATCAGTAGCCTCATATGACTGCATTCTACAGAAGAAGATTAGGGCCACTTGTAAACATCTTTTTTTTAGATCTGACCAAATGTGATTTTTCTTTTTCAATTTAAATTCGGATTTCTGACAAAAAAGTCAGATGTCCCTATCCTCTCCAGAAGCCTTGTAATACTTGACTCGTGGGATATTTGAAGTTGTGGGCAGGGATTTAAAGCCATTAAACCATGGTTATACATTTATAAAATAAGGTTTTCAACTTATTGACTTCTTCTTATGTATTGATTGTCAATAACTAGAAAAACTAGAGATTATTTTGCATCTTCCTGTATTTTTGCATTTCCTCAAAACTCAATAGTCCTTTTGATCTTGACCTCACATCTGTGAAGTTCGTGACTGTATCTTAGATTGCAACGTCATTGCAGTGATAGATCTTTGCCTATGATATAAACCATAAAATAAAACTGGTTTTAATGGTGGGAGTGGCAGCAATAGAAACAAAATATCTTTAAGGGAATAGTTCGCCCACAAAAAGATTTTTTGTCAAATATTCACTCAATGTTCTAAAGTATTTAATACATTTGGGACTGGATAAATAAGACTTGGATAATACTGTAGTTTGGTTGTAAACAGATTTTTTTAAATGTACATTTCTGTTGTCAAACGCTGGCCCCAAGACTTTTGTTTGTAACGAATACTTAGTTCACCGTGAAGGCATGCGAGAAAAACTAAATGTTCTTCGAGATGTCAAGGTAATGGATACACACATTATAATTTTGGTTGTGAGGTATTTCTTTAAAGGTGGGGTATGTAATTTATTTCAGAAACACTTTTTGTTATATTCCATGGAATGCTCTTAACATCCCGATAGCAATGAATATCTTAAGTGCTTTGACAAAAAATCCATAAAGAAATGTCATCTGTGGAAGCCGTAATACTGTAAAAAGCACGACCAATCATTTTAGCCGGCCCGGCTAAAATAACTGGATGGCCTACCTGCCTGTCAGCCTTCCATCTGTGCACAAACTTATCTCGTGCCCTCATTGGTCATGTGCGCGTTCGTGTGTGTTGGAGGAGGGGCTCTGTAAGGAAGTGGCAGATTTTTT